CTTTCTATCACTTCAAATTTTTAACTCAAACGAATTAGAACCAACTTTCTGTGTTTTTAATTAACATATAATATTAGTTAACTAATATTATATGTTAATTAAAAACTATTCTTTTATATTTTGTACTTTTCTTTCTGAAATATTGTATTAAATAAGGTAATTAATTAACTGAATTAATTACCTTATTAAAATTAATTACTGATTAGATTTTAACCGCCCTAATTCCTAGAATAAATTTCTTTGCAATGCAACTTTTTGTCTGATATAGATCATTGCTGGAAATAAAATAATTCAGCATTCTGACTCATAATTTCTTACTATTGCTTGCATGATGAAGAATAACAGCTCAAATAAATAAAAATATCGAGTATTCATCTAATTTGAAATACAGTTTTTAGTCACAGAAAGTTCCTATAAAACTCAGCGATAATAACTGATATCGAGTGAGGTCCTATTGAAATTTATTCTGCAATAAATTAATACACACAGGTATAAACATTAACTTTTTGTTCGAATAATACTTTAGTAGAAGTTTTACATTTATAAAATGCAAAGAAGAAATTGATAAAGTAATTATATAAAGAGTATATGCATAGAATTAATCTGTTAAACAATACGAGCAAATTTAGAAAAATTATCAATTGAGCTTGACAGCAATTTTCAATCCACAAATGTAGAAAAGGCTATTTCTGTATAATACATTTGATTAATAAGTAAATTATTGAAATATGAATAGTTCTCATAAATGAAAACGCATAAAAAATCTTTGATAAAATATATGTAATAGAAGATCAAAATATGTAAAATATATGTTTCTTGCATCCGTAACAATTGCTTATTGTAATAAAATCAAAATTCATTTTATTACAATATGTAAACGAAAATTAAGCATTTTTGCATAAATTTGCTTAACAATTTAAGCACATTCAAGCAAAAATGCAGAGCCAATTTTTTAAAAGAATCGTGTGTTATATCAATATCGTTATTTGATTATTTGATTAATAACGATACTAATGGAATACATGATTGTATTTTCAAGCAAAAAACGATCAAGGACTACAATTGGCTCTGCAATGTCATCAACTTTAGTATTACTTTTGCTAATACTTATAAATTTGCTTAAATTGTTAAGCACATTCATTTTGTGAATATATTCCTGACGCTATGACATTTTCAATTTATTTTTGCAAGTTTATATGCAAGTCAATGTTAGGATTTATAAAATATCAGTTTTATATATTTTGATAAAATTTATTACTGATTATTTGTAGTTGAAAAAGTATTCATATCCAAAATATCAAATAAGATTTTACTGATTAATTCTAGTTTTGGTACTTTGGAATATGGAAATTTTTGAAATTTTTAAGATATGAAAGTGTTACAAATAAGTGTCCTGCTAACTTTGCTTATTTTTGCGACAACAAATGGTATACCGACGAGTACAGCTTCACCAGGTAAATGTCAAATTTTATTTAATTTGCATATTGCACCAGTGAAAAGGACAAGCACTAAGTAAATTTAATCTTTACCTGCCGATTATCCAAACAGTGCAATATGAAACCAAATAATTGAATTATAAATTTTAAAGGATTAATTAGATTAAGAAAGAAAAGTCAATTTTGCATCTGAAATTAAAACAAAATTTTTCTTCAGGGCCATTAAAATGAATGAAATAATTACTGAAGTTAAATATTCTGCTTCAGACTTTTCAAATTCTGAATGAATGCTGTTTTAAAATAAATTTAAAAATATAATTCATAAATGGTTTTCAGATTTTATTCCGCTGCGTCAACGAAACAATCATGTTGCACCGAGATCACATGACCCTAGTTTTCAATTATTACTACCAGAGTTAACAAATTTGGAATTATTAAGTAAAAGGTTTATTTTTGGCCTTTACATAACAGTATTAATAATTTAATATTCTTGAGATTCAATTTTTTTTCTTTTTACAGTATTTTTTGTCATTTAGGATAGAAAAGCAATATCACATTGAAGCCACAAATGAGCTGAATCGACGATTTCAAATTATTCATTTCAGTGGCCAAAAAATTGCTTCAAAAAATCAAATGCAAATATTTTCTGAATTCTTAAAACGTAAAAATAACGATGACGAAGTGAGAATTTTTTTCATTATTTAAAATTATGAAAAAGTAAGGCTGATTTGTTTGCTCTATTTAATAAATTATTTTCTATATGCGATTGATCACTTCCTAACAAATGCTAGCATTGAACTTTTAAGAGAAATTGGACACCGCAAATGGTCATTGCTTTTACTAGCATTAACCATGGAAATTATCAAACTAATCCAAATCACCATCCTGCATTCATTGTAACTAAACATCAAATACCCTTCAGTTATGAAGGAAGGATAATTCACTTTACCAAAAGTTTATATTGATCACTTCAGTACTTCAAACTTTACTCACTTTTCATGAGCTCAACATTTCACCTTGTAGTAATTCATTTTAGATTTTCCAACTATTTCAAAAGATGCAGACGGTGTAATTATCCCTAAAATGTTTGAAGCGTATGTCAGCTCCGCAACAGTTATAAATAGATAGTTTGTTTTTTAATGAAATTTAAACGCTACAAAAAACAAAATGTTTTCAGCAAAATATGCAAGTGAATTTTTCGAATATATATTTTCTACTTGATTAGTAAACCTGATTAGTACACTGTTTTTCCTTAAACTTAGAGCGGAATAACACTAGAATGAATATGTGCTATAATTTGGTCCATTTGATGCTCGTTTAAATTATACAGCAGAAACCAATCAAAAGTAGCTTTTTTATAATACTTGGTTCTTATATTGAGAAAAATTTTCAGCAAAATACCCAACAATATTTTCTCGAGTACTTCGTTTTTCGAGGTAAGTTTTTTCGAAAAGCTAATTTGCATATAGCGCGTTTCTTAAAAACGATAATTTTTACTTCATTATTAGAAATTATGATTAGGACTTTTTTGACAAAATTTCTCATAATGAAATCATCAGTACGAATGTTGGTTTTTGAGAGCAACTTATCTCTGATACTAAGTAGTTATTGATAAACTAAGTAGTTATTGATAAAAGTATTTCACTGATTATTCGACAAGAAGAAACACAATTTATTTGAGAATTATTTTTTGCATGAATTTTTCTGGTTAGTGAAAATTGTGGTTGAAAAAAGAATGCGAATTTAGAATCGCTACTTGCACAACTCGATTATACAATAAAAAACTGATAATGAATATTTTATTAACTCTTTACAATACGAAAACAAAGATTTAAAAAATGTGATAAGATACAATAAAGTCTTAATTTTTTAATTAAAACTTCTGTATATGGATAATTATGCAATGGTTCTCACTTCAAAGTTATAAAAATTGGAAACGTAATTTCAGCCTGACACCAAACTTGTTCTCATATTTTCGACAGCGGTTCAGAAATCTCTAAATTTTACATTATCGAATTCTCCAAATTCGAATTCTTCTACACCCGTTACATTATGTTTTGTGCATACTTGTTTACTCAATAGAGTGTAAGCTATGCATTTTTGTTAACAAATTAAGGACGATAAAATAATATTCGCCATTTTTCTTTCGTGTTTTTGCACCAAATTACTCCTTTGAAATATAATACCGCATTAACTTCATTTGCAGAAGTGTGATTGAAATCAACACAGTATCATATTTAAAAGGAGTAGTTTGAGAAAATCCATTTATTACAATTTGAGAAAATCCATTTATTACTTACAGCAAGACAAAATCATTTCAACTAATTAACTAATTAATTAATTGACTTTGGCTGATGGTTTAAAAGATTCAGCAAATTTTAGCTTAAGCTGGGAGGCACAGCGCATCATTGCAATGATCACGTTTTTATCCTTTAGAGGAAAGAACATCGAGGTATCAACTTTAAACTTGAAGGATATAAGCAATAAAATTCGCATAAAAAGAAGTTTACTGGAATGGAAGGTTTGATTTAATTCTTAAAAGCTTAGATATTATAGTTCGATTACTGTTTTAAATTATTTTATTTTCAAGAATAATAACATTACTGTTTTTAATGAATTGAAAAAAAATCTTTTTGTCACTTATTTATTGGCTGTGGATATTTTCAGAATTTCACTTTTTGTTACCATAATTTAGACCTATTTAGTTATTCATTTATATGTTTGTTTTTTACAGGAAAAGATTGATTTTCTTGATACTCATCAAATTATTGCGTTTGAAATTCCAGAATCTCAAATGGCTGATCATAGCATTTCCACATTATTCAAGTACTGTATATTTTCACTTTTTTCTTCCTTTTTGCACACTAAAATTTGTTTACTAGTTAATGCGCAAGCAGTTCTATTAATAATAAGATTTGACATGTTTTAATCCTTCAATTATTTTCAGTGAAACATTCGGTATAAAACCTTTATCACTGAAACTTTTCAATCAAGGCAGAAAAATTACTGTCAGTCATACTTATTTGAATAATACTAATATATTGAAGACAATTCAAACTACGAGCGTATTATACGTAATTGTTGGATTTCTAAAAGCTGAAATTGATTTCAAATGGCTATTTGCATGAAACAAAGAATGTAAATGAATAAAATCTCATGCTAGTTGATTATGAATTTCGTATTTATTTAGTAACTGTCTGATACTGTGGCTGATAACTTTAAAGTCTTCTGGTTCCGATTTGATCAACCCAATGTAATAGTTTATTAAACTTATGGCTTGCTCATTCAGTGCCTTGATAAAGTTATTGCAATTTAGTACAGTTTTGGCTAACTGCTCAATTCTCACTAAAATCTTTGTTTGAGCTTTATCGTAGTTTTCACGGGTAGGTACTCTAATCCTGTCTTTCACTCTTGCAAAGCTTTTAAGAACCCTGCTTTATCAGCACATACCTCGGTGCTAGTGGTTGACTTTTCTCGATCTGTCTCAAACCCACCAACTCACGAAACCTCTAAACTTTATCAACTTCAAAAATCATTATATCTTCATTGGTTGCAAAAAGCTTTGAGATTACAAGCACAGGTTCATTAAACATAGAATTGGACAAATTCTATAAATGAAACTCAGATATTAACTGGTCGATTGTTGAGTCCTTATAATGTCAGAACGTCAACAATTGTTAAGAGAAATAATTTGTGCAAACTCATTGTGACTGCAACTGTCTTGCAAGCAGATACCTCATCTCATTTGTCTTGCAAGCAGATACCTCATCCAATTCGTCTTGCTTATTATCTTTTAAGACAAAGTTAAACAAATACATCTCAGACTAACATATAGAAAGTCTGAGTATTTACACTCTGGCAACTTAACTATTCCACACTAACCAAATCTCGCAATCTATCACACTTTGCATTTTGAACAGCCAAAATTCATGTCTTTACAAATTTTTAAAAATTTTAGACTTTAAATTTTTAACTTTCCAAGTTTCGAGACTAAGTCATTTGAGCTAAAGACTAATATTTTAACTGTAGTGATTAATTTATTTCAACATAAGATGAACGTAGTTGCCATTTTTATCATACATAATTCATCTCTATAATTGCGCACTAGATATCTAGAAGATACTAGAAATGACATAAGATCTTTTGCTTGTAGATTTTTGAACCAAATGAAATAAGCTTAATAAAGGCCAGTGCCAGCATGCAAATAGCAGTAGAGATGAAAAAGATTTAATCTTTTTTTTACTATTTATTATTTAAATGTTATAATTTGGCTGGCATATTATCCTGTCATGAATAAATCAGTAAGTTTACATGAATGTCGAGGTGAAGACTCGGAATTGTTAGCTATTTGTTGAATAATATGCATCATATGTTATATTTATCACATCTTCATTCAGAATATCTCCTTTCTGATCCGTGTAAAGCACATAATGAAAGATAATCATAGAGTATTTCGTCAAGTTAAAATCCGACTTCAATCTCGAGAAGACTATAACGAGCAAAGTTCAATAAAAATTTTCGAATAATGATAAAACATGCGGACTGAAAACGGAAGCATACTTCAAAATTTCATTCATTTCAATAGTTTTATGGTATTTCAGCTTTAGACTTTTATCACTGCCACAAATAAATATCTCAACAGAAAATTACTCACAAACTATTATGGAAGAAATGATTTGATAAGCGATATGTCATAAATAATGAACTAATACAATCGGATGTTCTGCAAAACTAAAAAATCAAAAATCAAAGAATGCCCAAAGAAGTGAAGAATTGAGTACGAAAACTAAATTACAAATCAAATTAAAATTAGAGCTCATTCAGTTTCTTCTCTGCTACTCGATTTTCATCTCGAACATCTTCAGATTTCTTTTTTTCAATCCAAAATTGCAGTTATTTTGTTGAAACTGCTTATTTTCAAAACTGACCGCTTTTATTTAAGAAAGAATTAATTTTGTTCACAACAGCGCTAAAAGAAAATGTGTTCACTCTTGTCATCGAAATTGAAATTGATGTTATTTGCTACAAATCTCATTCATTCTCGATTAAAAAAATGGAATTTGATTATTTCTTCCATAGTTTACGCCAAAATACTGTGGATATGCTATTTATTTTCGTCAAGTATTTGCGGGAACTTTTTGTAATCAAATTTTTCCACTCATTTAAGTACTAATAATAATTTCATTAAGAATAAAGTGATAATAGGTAAAATGATGAGTTTTCAGAAAAAATACCATCAATAATAATGAATCACGATCTCTATTCACTTCCTAAGTTCGGAAAGAAAGAAAAATTCATTTCACTTGGTCACTGATTCTTGCTCCTTAACATTTTCAGTACCAGTACCCTTTCTGTCTCTAGTTAACTGCGATCAATCATCTTTAGTTATTCTCTCAACCTTTTCCCTTTTCCTTCTCAACAGCTTTATTTCATCATTTCCTGCCTCAGTTACGACGGATTTCAAATCTACTCTCACTGCAATGCAAAATTGATAAACATATTTCTAATCTAATATGATCTCAAAATTACTTTCATGGTATCACAAGTAACATTTAAATAATAAGCAGTAAAGAAAAGGTCAAATCCACTAAAATTGTTGTCTACTCTTTCAAACATTTATTAATTTTTCTTACACTTAATGCACTTTAAGTGTATTACACCAACAGAAGGAATAGACAGTTCCAGATATTCCATTATTCCATGAA